GGTCCTTCCCAAGCCATGCCATGGCGTTCCCTGGTGGCATTCCGTGCTGTGTGTCCCTGCAGTGGCTGAACGTCCCCAGCACATGCTGATGAGGGTGTCTGTGGGCATCCACAAGGCCGACATCGACGCTGCCATCGAGACCTACAACCTGCTCTCGGAGCGCTGGTTCACCCACGCCTCGCCCACGCTCTTCAACGCGGGCACCAACCGGCCCCAGCTGTCCAGGTGCCCTCCCTCCCCCTCCTCACGGCAGCCTGGGCACAGGGGAGGGCTCAGGGATCTCATCTGCTCAAGCAAGGTGCTTGCACAGCCTCTGAAATGAGCTGCTGAGTTTCTGTGTGTGTTTTAGGGTGTTTTGAGAAGCTGCTGTCAGGGTTTTAGCTTTCTTTGGGGAAAAATGCCCAAGTTTCAGTGAACTCTAGAGATAATGGAAACCTTTGCATGGCTGTGTTACATTGGAAGGTTCCTGATGTGCAGAGTGTGCTGCAGATTACCAAATGAGTCCTGGCAATTGTTTTCTAAAAGCAGCAAGCATAACTGATAGGTTTTTGATACTGCATATATTAGGAAAAGGATTCTATTTTATAAAGGTTTGTATCAAAGTATTGGGAAAAGCTTCTTCCCCCAGAGGGTGCTGGGCACTGCCCAGGCTCCCCAGGGAATGGGCACTGAGCTCCAGGAGCTGCCAGGGATGCCCAGGCTGGGATTGCTGGGGGCACCAGAAATTGGACTCTGATCCTTGTGGGTCCCTTCCAGCTCAGGGTATTCGGGGATTCTGTGATTAAAAATGTTTGATGGCCAGAGATATCAGCAGTGCAGGTGTAGCTCATGATGGTTTCTGTTTTGTCCTTTATTCCACCCCTGTGGAGCAGCACACTAAAAATCCCATGTTTGCCTTGGTGTTTGCAGCCTGGTGAAACATTTATGACTTTTCCTTCCCATCCTTATCCACTAAAACCATTTGTTTCCTTCAGCTGCTTCCTGCTGTGCATGAAGGACGACAGCATCGAGGGCATCTACGACACCCTGAAGCAGTGTGCCCTCATCTCCAAATCTGCGGGGGGCATCGGCCTTGCTGTGAGCTGCATCCGTGCCACGGGCAGCTACATTGCTGGGGTGAGTGTCCCCAGTGGGGACATTGCTGGGGTGAGTGTCCTCAATGGGGACATTGCTGGGGTGAGTGTCCCCAGTGGGGACATTGCTGGGGTCAGTGTCCAGCTCGGGGACACTGCTGGGGACTCTGGGACACGTAGCTGATAAATACTTTTTTGTCAGAAATAGTGTGAGGGAGTGTCTTGGGGTGACTACATGGTGGTTGTATTTGAGACTACAAATGTATTTGTTTCCTCCCAGATTTGCCCTAAAGCAGGGCAGGAAGAGACTAGAAATAATTGATGGTGATCAGTGTAAGAGCTGTGCAGGCTGAGGAAGGGCCCCAGGAGATGCAGTGAAAGCAGGAGGTGTTTACTGATGGGTTTTGTGTCTCTGCAGACAAACGGGAATTCCAACGGGCTCGTCCCCATGCTCAGGGTGTACAACAACACCGCCCGCTACGTGGACCAGGGTGGGAACAAGGTACCTGCACTGAGGGCCCAGGAGGGAGCCTGGGGCAGTGGGAGATGCTGGGAAGGACAAGGATTGGACAGAAAAGTCTCACAGATATGTCTGTACAACAGAAATATTTTTAAAAGTAGAATTTGAAGAAAGAATAGAAATGGTAGCAAGTTTTGATAAAGAAGAAATTGTTGAGCCAGTCTTTCTGGATAACTAGAAGCCAAAGGGTAAAATGAGTTGAAAGGGTTTTTTATGATTTAAAACACAGGATAAATTCACCTTAAACAAAATATGTTTTTACTAAGCAAAAAGATTTTTACAGGTAAACAACAATGCCATGTTGCAAGTAAAAAGAAAGATCTCAAAACTTTTCACTGTAAGAAAACTGAAGAAGAACTTCTAGCTTAAACTGTAATATACCTAGTTTTTGTAATTGAAAAATAGTTACATAAATATGGTATGTAATGTTAGTAGTTATGATAGGCAACAGGTAACAGTAAAAGTATTGATTGATTGTCATGTATTAAGATACTCTGTAACCAGAACTAGAGAGGCTTCACACAAACCCCCAGCTGTGGCTGACAGGTGTGGGCTGGGCTCTTGTCACTACCTGGGAATTGCTGCATCCTCTGGATACAATAAACAGCTTTTAAAATAATAAATAAATTGCTGTATAATTTGGATACAACAAACAGCATTTTAAAGAGCCATTCTGGAGCCCCCATCCCTCACAGGGAGAGCTTCCCCCCTGGGAAGGGTCGTGCCATGAGCAGCAGGGAGCTGATGGAGTGGTTGTGGGTGGCACATAATCATGAAAGGGCATTTTTCCCCTTGTGTTGGTATCCGGTGCTGCCCCCCGGTTCCCAGCTCGTTCGGGGTGCTGTGGGCACTCGGGAGCAGGGCAGGAGGTTTCTTTGCAAGGACAGGTTGTTCTGATCCAGATTGTGTCCTGTGTCCCAGAGACCTGGGGCTTTTGCCATCTACCTGGAGCCGTGGCACTTGGACATCTTTGAGTTCCTGGACTTGAAGAAGAACACAGGCAAAGAAGAGCAGCGAGCCAGGGACCTGTTCTTTGCTCTCTGGATCCCTGATCTCTTCATGAAGCGAGTGGAAACCAACCAGGTGAGAATTTGGCTGGCACAGAAAAGCTCTGGTGGTGGAGGAGGAGCAGCCCTGGAAGGAGCTCAGGAAGGGCTGCAGAGCTGCTTTGCTCCTTGTTCCTTCCAGGACCTTCCTGGAGGAGCTGCTGCACCTTGTTTGAGAGCTTGGCAGTGCAGGTGGAGAATGGAGCTGGGCAGCTCCAGCTCGGGGTTCTGCTGCAGGGTTTAATCTCACAGCCCATGACTTGTTCTTGGACTGTTGGGCTGTTCTGACTTGGCTTTCCTGAAAGCATCAACATTTTCTCACTGAATTGTTCTTCTTATGCCTGCTTGTATTTCACAGAATCCTGGACTGGTTTGGCTTGGGGGGGACCTTAAAACTCATCCAGAGCCACCCCTGCCATGGCAGGGACACCTCCCACTGTCCCAATGTCCAACCTGGCATTGGGCACTGCCAGGGATCCAGGGGCAGCCACAGCTTTAATCAGCAGAGTGCCTGAAGATTTCCTCCGAATATTTTTCCCCTTTGTAGGACTGGTCCTTAATGTGCCCGAATGAGTGTCCTGGCCTGGATGATGTCTGGGGAGAGGAATTTGAGAAGCTCTATGAGAGGTAAGAAGAATGAGCAGACCTGTAAGTGGTGCCATGCTCTCCCAGAGCTGCCTGTGTCCTGTAGGATCCAGGGCATTTTTCTCAAGTTTGTGAGCCCTGCCACGCTTAGAGATGACGTCTCCACACTAGGTATTTAAAATGTAATTAGTCCAAATCCTTTAAAATCATTTTATTGGGCACATGGAGTCTCTCTAGGACAGATCTCAGAACTGAGGCACCTGGGTGACACCTGGTTCTCCAGGCAGCTCATGTGCATCTGAGCAACAAGGGCAAGCTCCCCCTTGGGAGGGGGCCCAGAGGTGGCCACTGGGCTCATTGTCAGATCGATAAAGATGTGAGGATGGGGATGTGTCCACACTGTGACCTGTCAGGGTGGAGCCGTGTGTGAATTCTGTCACCACAGAGGGACACCCTGCTCAGAGCCCTCCGTGGCTTTGTGTGGGATTGCTGTGGTGAAAGATCCGTTCCCCTTAAACAGGGACAGTGCTGCTGCCCTGCTGAGAGGGCTCGGCAGTGAGCAGGGCCTTGGCTGCCCCAGAGCCCAGGGGTGTAAGGGATTCCCGGGCTCTGGGGCTCTGGGGCTGAGCCAGCTCCGTGCGTGTTGCAGCTACGAGCGGCAGGGCCGCGTGCGCAGGGTGGTGAAGGCCCAGCAGCTCTGGTACGCCATCATCGAGTCCCAGACCGAGACTGGCACCCCCTACATGCTCTACAAGGACTCCTGCAACAGGAAGAGCAACCAGCAGAACCTGGGCACCATCAAGTGCAGCAACCTGTGCACCGAGATCGTGGAATACACCAGCAAGGAGGAGGTGGGTGCAGGAGGGAGCTGGGAGTGCCCCCAGCAGCTCTGGGGTGTGTCTGACTGCTGCCTGGGGAACGGAACAGGCAGCTGAGACACTTCTGACCTCAGTGCTCACAGCTCTCCCACTGACCGTGGGTTCCCTTCCCACTCCTGTGGAGGATTTGGGATGGCACAAGACACCCTTCAAAGGGAAAGCAACAGGGAACAAACGGGGCTTGAAAATTCCTTCCATCCCAGCCCCTTCTGGAATTCTGTGTGAGAATGGTTTCCAGGCAGTAGGACTGACCAGGGCAGGATTTTTCTGCTCATACCAATTTCTGCTGAACTTTCCTGAACTGTCATTACCTTCTGCACACCTTCTGCCATGCCAGAGGAGCAAGGGGTGCACTTTGCCAGCCTGGCAGGCTGTTTCTGTGCATTTTGGGGCAGAGCTGGGTGTTCCTGTCCCATTCTCAGTGATTCCCTGTCCCTGCCCACAGGTGGCTGTGTGTAACCTGGCCTCCATTGCCCTGAACATGTATGTGACCCCTGAGCACACCTATGACTTCAAGAAGCTGGCTGAGGTCACCAAGGTCATCGTCCGAAACCTCAACAAAATCATTGATATCAACTACTACCCTGTGCCAGAGGTGAGTGCTGGGCTGGGGCAGGGCTGAATCCAGCCCAGAGCAATCCCAGAGCAGTCTGAGACACAAGGAATCACAGGGGAGCCCCACAGACCTGTTGGGAGCTCTATGAATCACCTGTTCCCAGGTGAGACCTGTCAGTGCCTGCCTGAGCTTCAACCCAGAGCAGTTCTGTGGTGAAGCAGCTGCAGGAAACCTTCCCACTCTGCTTCTGCCTTTGGAATTTTTTCATGTGTGAGGATTTCCATGGAGCACAGACCAGCACTAGGAGCAGAGTGGGAAGTGGAACAAAGAGAAGGATCCTGGAAAGATGCTGAGGAAGTGTAACTCATTTTGGTCGGTTTTACAACTCCCTGGCAGGAGGGGCAGCCAGGTGGGGGCCAGGCTCTGCTCCCAGAGATCAGGGAAGAGGACAGGGGGAAATGGCCTCGACCTGTGCCAGGAGAGGTTTAAGCTGAACATTAGGAGAAATTTCTTAATGGAAAGGGCTGTGCAGCCCTGGCACAGACTGCCCTGGGCAGTGCTGAACTCCTCATCCCTGGAGGGGATTTACATCTGTGTGGATGTGGCACCTGGGGACATGGTCAGTGGTGGCCTTGGCACTGTTGGGGAGCAGTTGGACTTGGTGGGCTCAGAGGGATTTTCCAACCTCAGTGATGCAGATTCAGTGCATTCTGATAAATGAAGACATTTAATAAAACATAATCTAAACATCAAAATCCTGGCTGCCTTTCCTGGGTTACACAGTCAGTCTGTGCTGAGCTCTGACAAACTGTCTGGGTGGAAGGTGTGTGGATGCAGAGCTCACAGCACATTGCAGCAGGTTTGGCTCCCAGAGCCCATCCCAGGCTGGTTTTACTGCCCAGATGTGCTGGAGGTGACTCCTGTGTGTCTGGTTTTACTGCCCAGATGTGCTGGAGGTGACTCCTGTGTGT